TCAAGTGAACTGTGGTTTCCCAATTTAATGTTATAAGAACTACGAAGTTTAAGCTGGTTTTAACTAATTATTGGAGAAGTAATGTTTAAGAAGTTATACTAAAGTATATTGAGATCTGGTTCAGTAAAAGACTAGCTAGAACACCCAAGAATTTCTACAAGCGATAGGAACCAGAGAAGCAAGCCTACCTAGGAAGAGAGCACTTTGGAGCTGCCCTCAAGACTTAGAAGATGCTCCCAGACCAGACCAGACTGCATGGGATAGCTGAGATCCAAGACAATTGGGCTGACAAAATGAACTTTGGGAATGGGTTACTAGGATACCAGACTTGATGTTAGCTAATGTTAATGATCACTATTGCATTACTCTGGCTTTTTGCTTCACAAGTATCTATGTTTCCTGAGTTTTCTTTTCTTTTCTTTTCTTTTCTTTTTTTTTTTTTTGGCTAGGCAATGGGGTTAAGCGACTTGCCCAGGATCACACAGCTAGTAAGTGTTATGTGTCTGAGGCCGGATTTGAACTCAGGTCCTCCTGACCTTAAGCCTGACGCTCTATCTACTGTACCACCTAGCTGCCTCCTGAGTTTTCTTAACTGATATGTAAATCTCCCTTCTAAATTCAGTCTATCATTTTAGATATGTTTACTCTCTTGGTTATGATTGATATATCTTGTTATTCCTTTTCAATTTTGCATTAGTTACTGTGCTAAAGTCTGTTCTGAACTTCCATCAGAGAAACCTGTGTTAGTGCATCCAACTACTGATAATAAGGATGTTAAAGATCTTATAGATTAGACTGTTGGTAACTAATCAATGAGACCTGTTTGTCTCCCAAGAGCAAAAGGGAGGAATTGAGAAGATTAAAAACTGATCCCATATAATTTTCTTATTGATTCTATTTACAAGCAATTGATTTTGTCCTGTAACTGCTTTAAGACATGGTTCTTTGTCTCTTAACTCAGTTAAGTTTAAAACTCCGGCTCTCTTGACTCAAGGAATTTAACTGACCTCAGAGAATGTGTGAGAAAGCCAGGGAGTTTGGGCCTGATATCTTTCTTCCACCAAACTATCCTTCAAGGATGTCTGGTTTGCTGTCCAAAAGCCTGGACCACTATCTCTCACCTGCACTCAGACAATAAGCACTTCTTTGTCTCATTCAAGAAGAAGGGGAGTCATTGCCAGCCCCCATTACCAAACTTCCAACCAATCATGTTGTTCCCTACATTTCAGCTCTGTAACCAGTCATAGTGTCCTTAATTCCATGATGTCATCTACTCTGTTCTTTCTTCTTCATTCCCAAAAATTCCATGTAAGGAGAACCCTCCTTTTGCTGGGGTCTTTGGAATAAACAGAGGCAAGCCACGGACCCATTTGTTAACAGGTGGCATGTCCCTGTTTTCTTGCTCAGAGATCTGCCTCAATCTACCCTTGCATTAAAATCTCAATGGAAACAACACTTTTCAGATTATAATGGTGGTTATGGAAAAACCAAACCAACCACAGTGAAAAGTCACTGAGAATCACTGCCCCCAGAACAATCCTTGATTATGTCTTTTATATCCAGTTTTTCCATTTTAAATATGTCTCAGTATCACAGAATCACAAATTGAGAGCTAGAGCAGTTATGTAGTCCAAGTCCTTCATTTTACAGGAAAGAAAACTTGGGCCCAAGAAGGTTAAGGTAACCAGGCCTTACTCCTCAACCCTATCCCACTGGAACCCTGAACCTGAACCTAAGACCCTGGACTCTCATAAGTGAACTTCCCCTTATCATCCCCCTAAACAGGCCTCCTCAACCCTCCCAACCTTTTCCAGAACATGCTGGTATGGACCCCTGTCTTTTCTAGCTCTGCTTTATTTGTTATGTTCCTCCTTAGAATGGAAGGCCCTTGAGAGCAGCAAGGCTCTAGCTTGTATTTGTTATGCCCAGAGCTTACAACTGTACTGATTTTTTTTCCTCTTTAAAAAATACCGTTTGTTATATGGGATGACTCTCTGTGAGGAGAAAAGAAAGAGATACAGCGGATAATTATGATGATGTAAGTAACAGAATACATCAATAAAAATTTGGTTTGGTTTGTTTTTTGTTTTTTTTTTAAACGTAGGTATGGGGCATACACTGTGTGCTTAGTGTAGAAATATGCTGGGGGTGGGAGGGGTGGCAGGGCAGTTAGGTGGCACGGTGGATAGAGCATGGCCCCAAAGCCAGGAGGGCCTGAGTTCAAATCCAGCCTCAGACCAAATTTGACACTTATTCACTTAACCCCAATTGCCTAAAAAGAAAAAAAAAGAAAGAAAATAAAGAAATATGCTCAAACCTAGAGGTTAAAGCCAAAGCAAAAAATGTCTTAATTACTTACCCTCACGAAACTTCTATTTTTAAACTTAGAACTTTTATTCACTGGTAGAAATACTGACCAAGCCCAGGAAAAGAGATTAAATAAGAGTCTGAGTGACAAACCCCTCACAGACACCTGATCGAGGCACTCTGATCAAAGGCAAAAGAGGACAATGTGATGAGATTTATCTGGCCTGTTTTGCTGAAATTTGAAACTCCTTCCCACACTAACACCCTTCTCCTTGGGATGGTGAGGGGGGAGAAGGGAATGAGGTTACCAGGCATATTTAAAAAGCATTTAATCATCATTCTTTTTTATTGATCTGTTTCTATTAAAACTCTTTTTATTGATGTTTCTATAAAAACTCTATCAACTTAATCCTCATTAATGTTTCCTTTTGACCACTTTTATTTTTTTAATTTTTAACTAATAAGCATTTATTTTCTTTCCCTCTCACCTACCTTCCAACTGAAAAATGAAAAAGAAAACCCCTGTAACAAAGATGCATATTCAAGCAAAACAAATTCCCCTGTTGTCCACTGGTCATTATTTTAAAGAAATAGGATGGGGTAGGGGGTTAAGAGGCAGGGCTAGATAATGTAGATGGCTGCTATGCAACACACAGGAGGAAGGAGCCTTGCAGGAAAGGACCCTTTCTAATTGTGCTTTTTAATTAGCATATATTATTTATTCAATTCAATAAATATTTATTAAGTGTCTACTGTGTGTGAAGTGCATAGGATGCAAAGACAAGAACGAAAAAATTCCTTCCTTTAATGGTTGCTAGTGCACAGGACATCTAGGTAGCACAGTGGACAGAGTGCTGAGCCTAAAGTCAGGGTTGGATTATTTCTCAAAAATCCCACATAAGGAGAACTAACTGTCCTTTTACTGGAGTCTTTGGCATATGTAGAGGCAAGCCTTATTATCTTATTGAGTTCAAATCCAGCCTCAGACACTTACTAGCTGTGTGACCCTGGTCATGTCACTGAATCCTGTTTGCCTCAGTTTCTTCATCTGTAAAATTACCTGGAGAAGGAAATGGCAAACTATTCCAGTAAAGAAAACCCCAAAGGGGGTCACGAATAGTCAGACATAACCGAGCAAGTGCACAGGGAAGAGTCCCAATGTCCAAATCATGCCTTTGGCACACAAACACCCAGGCTGGGGAAAAAAGAGAGGGGAAAAAGGAAAGAATACATTAATTATCCTTTCCTGATTTTCAAATTTTTAAAAAAATTTTTAATGTTATATCATTCTTCCCTGATCTTTTTAAATCACAGCTAGTATTTATGATGTTTAAAAGTGTTCAAAACTTCAAATACTAGTGCTATATATTTACATAAAATTTTTCTTTTTTCTTCTAGGCAATGGGGTTAAGTGACTTGCCCAGGGTCACATAGCTAGTGCATGTTATGTGTCTGAGGCCGAATTTGAACTCAGGTCCTCCTGACTCCAGAGCCGGTGCCGCCCTATACATACACCTGTTAAGAACAATGTAAATACTTGCTCAAAGAATTTTCTTGCTTATATCAACGTCCTTGTGAGGTGGCATGTATTCAAATGCCTGAGTGTAATAATACAGTTTCCATTTCATAAACAAAACCGAGGTAGGAAAAAATCAATCAGTTTGACATTGGCAAAATTAGAACTCAGGCCTTTAATAAATTTAGTATGGTTCCCTATTGCTAAGAGGTGGGGACCTCTTCCAAACACACACCCACATGCCCATTACCTTTTATTGTATCTCAGCTTGTTAAATCAATTGATAAATCACAGCAAGCACTTATGAAGCATCTAGTAGACACTAAGTTGCTGCTCTGACAAAAGGGATCACAGGATCATAAATTTAGAGGCGGAAGGATCATTGGACGGTAAGCAACAATTTTCCCAAGGGTGGAGCCATTCAGAGTTTCACTGCCACAAATAACTCAAAAGTATTTCCTTCCTAGGTATCCTCCTATTGACCTATAGGGGGAGTCAATCTCTTTCCACCACTCAAACGCAACCCTTTTAACCACAAGCACTACTCTTCTCAGTGTGACAATAGGAGCCATAGAAACAAAAAGCAAACAGACGTGGGGTCCAAGGAAGAAGAAAAGACCCACCCTGAGGCAAAACAACCATATAGAGCCAGGCATACCGTTTACTACCTGTGACCTTGAACTAATTATCATACACCTTATTTTTCAATTGCAAAATAATTGAGTTGGGCATGATCTCTGAGCTCCCTTCCCATGCTAAAATTCTATAATTCTGCAACCCCTGTCACCTTATTTCTCAACTGTAAAATAATTGAGTTGGACATGACTTGTGAGCTTCCTTCCCATGCTAAAACTGATTCTACAGCCCCTGTGCAAAGCGGAGTCCTGCCACAGCCACCTTTTACCTAAGGAGGAATCTAGGATGGTCTTAACGCCTCCAAAAAGGACTCCTTTAGATTAAAGCCAATCCAAAGCATGGTTCCATCTCAAGAAGAACATCTCATGTTTACAATCTGGGAAATTCTTGTTTCTACACCAGATTCCCCTTCCACCACCACCGCCATCCATCCAATTACCCCATCACTTCTTTCGGAGCCACTGAAGATTCATAGTTCTGGCCTAGGGGACAGACCAACCCACCCCTAGGAACGCCCAGCAGTAGGCTTCAGACTTCTTACCATCCTGAGACAGCGACGGCAGTGTGGGGAGCACCTGTTTTCCTAATTCGAGGAGGGCTGGGTGGATGGTATCCAGCATCTTGGTTTCCGAATTCCTTTAACAGTGCGATGACTTCTTGAGTTTGGATTTTGCTGCTTGAATTTTTTTTCTTTGTGTTTTTTTTTGTACCCTTTTTGCTTTGTTTTGCTATATTGTGTTTAAAATTAATTTTCACACCCCCTGGTCACCTCTAAGGCACCGCTTCTTTCACCTGGAGTTCCCTTTTTCTCTCTGCACTTGCTTTTACTAGCTCTCTCTCTCTCTCTCTCTCTCTCTCTCTCTCTCTCTCTCTCTCTCTCTCTCTCTCTCTCTTTCTCTCTCTCTCTCTCACTCTCTCTCTACTATTTTGGTTTTGCTTCTCTTGTTAAATGATATTTCTTCTGCCACCCTACCTCTTTCCCTGTCCCTTGGAGGTCTCCCTAGCTAGACGCCTTAGGGCGCTTTAAGGGCGCGGTTGGCAGCGCAGCCTCAGGCTAGGCGTGTGAGTGCGGGAGAAGGGGGTGGCGCGGGGATGAGAAGGGGAGACTCCAGGACCTCGGAGCGCGGGGGCTGGAGGTAGGCAGTCTCCACGTTGCTAGGACGCTCCGGCCGCTTTCGCTGTTGCTGGGAGACGAGTCACAATAGGGGATCCGGCCTCCAGCCTCAAACCCTTCCCCCCTCCCCACTCTCTTGTCCGTCTGCGGAAGCGTGAAGCCAGGGAAGTCCCAGGGACTGGCAGCGGGAGGCGCGGGGCGCGAAATAGGAGACACTGGGAGTTCTGTGACTAGTATCTCGCCCTTCTTCACTGCTGAAGGATATTTGAACCACAGAGTCAAATATCCCGCAGGTCCCAGGAGCTGGGGGGTGGTTTGTTTTTCTTGCTCTCGCTGCCTCTTTGTAATGGAACTGCAGTGTCATTCCTGCCTCCCAAGGCGTGGAATTGGCGGGGTGGGGTGGGGTGGGGGGCGGAATTGGAAGGGAAACCTTGACCAGTACTCCAGGATTTCCGAGGGGGTACAGACTTTTCAAAACTCAATCTAGAAAGACGAAAACTGAGAGAAAAGAATCATTGTAATTTCTCATTTCAATAGTGCTTTCAGGTTGACAAAACCCTTTCCCCACCAGACCGCTGTGAAGTGAGTCGGGCAAGTATTATTCTCCCCATTTTGCTGGGATTTAGAGGAATGAAGCGGTTTGCCCGAAGTCCAAGTGTCAGAGCCTAGGACGCTGCTGCAGGCCTTCTGACTGTAAACCCAGCACACTTTCCGCTGTACTTTTGGCATTTGATCTTTGGGTTTTTTCCCTTTTTTTTTATTTGGTTGGTTTTTTGGGTTTGGACCAGACCTATGATTTCACTGGGTAGGAAACTTCCAGTGAGGAAACTCCCTCTACCAACACAGATCCGCACCTGCTCTGCAGTTTCTGTCGCTCAACCAATATTAAGATCCTATTAATATTCCAGGCACTGTGCTAGGTACTGGGGATACAGGTACGAAGAACGGAACAGCCTTTAGCGGAAAGGACCTAAGATTTCTAATGAGGGAGATCACCTGTACATATGTGTGTACCTATAAATACACATATGTGTATATAGTATAAAGCTAATAAATTCAAATACTTATAAATTAATTAAATACAAGATGGGAGGGCACTAGCTGTTGGACAGATCATGAAAGGTTTCCTGCTGAAGATGGTACTTGAGCATCGTCTTGAAGGAAAAGAGGGACTCAGAGTGGAAGTGTTTTCCAGGCATTTGGGACAACTAGTACAAAGGTACGGAGAAGGGAGGCTGGGTAAGTTGTGCGAGAAGGGAAGGCCTGATTGGTCGGATGCAAAGGCGTGGGGAAAGGGAGTAAAGTCCAACGAGGCTGGAAAATTAGTTTGGGGCTAGGTTGTAGGTGGCTTTTAAAAACTAAACAGAGTTTATATTCTATCCTGGAGGTAATAGGAAGTCACGGGAGTTGATTGAGTAGGGAAGTCTCGTAGACAGATCTGCACCTAAGGAAAATTACTTTGACAACGGCGCGTAGGACTCACTAAAGTGGTGAGAAACTTGACGTGGCAGTTGCAGTAATGTAGATTAGAGGTGATGGGATTAAGAGCGAGGGAGCCAGAAGCAGCTAGGTGGCACAGTGGATAGAGCACCGGCCTTGGAGTCAGGAGGAACTGAGTTTAAATCCGCCCTCAGACACATAACACTCACTAGCTGTGTGACTCTGGGCAAGTCACTTAACTCCAATTGCCTCGGACCCCCCACCCAAAAAAAAAAGAGAAAGAGAGAGGGAGAGGGAGCCTGTACTAAGATGGTAGGTGTGTGAGGTGAGAGAGGATCAAATGGGAAGAGATAAGATAGAAGCGACAAGATTTGGCAATAGATTGAATATTCGGCATGAGGAAGAGTGAGGAGTTGATGGTAATACCCGGGTTTCCAGTTAAGAGAGGCTAGGAGCCTGAGAGCTAAAGCGGAGTCAACCAACATAGCAGGTCATAGTGTGACTCCTGTGGTGTCAGAAAGGAAGTTTGAACGCCAGTCTTGCTCGCTCTTAGACCAGCTCTCTATTCACTAAGCCAGGCTGCTTAGCTTAACAATATTTAGATTTGTAGTTTCATTTCACTATCCATATTTGTTACAAGGATTTTTTTTAAGGGAGTGGGGATTGAGGCAAAAGAATATGGGTGTTTGTTAATTGAAAACACTTAAAAAGAAATGTTCAGATTTATACCGTTAGAAATTTATAAAAAAAAAAAACATGGTTTCTGGGCATAGAGCTAAAGATGACCACTTGCATCAAATGCAGACAAAATTTATACAAAGGTATCTAAGACAGGATCCGAAGCTCTCTGGGAGTTCACAAACCTATTTGAGGAGGTGGTACACAGACTTGAACAGATAAGCAGCATGGTGCCAAAAAAGAGATTTGAAAAGATAGACTCATCCCACCCCTTTGCAGAGTTGGGAGGTCCACAGGTGTGGAACATTGTATATGTTTTGACTTTTTTTAATGGATTGATAGATTTTGCTGATTTTTTTCTCTTCCTCTTCTTCTGCTCTTTAAAAATTTATTTGTTATATGAGACAGCTCTCTGAGAGAGGAAGAAGGAATACCAGAAGAAATTCTGGTGAGGTAACATACAAAAGATAACAGCAAAAAAAAAAGTTTGGGTGTTTTTAAAGTTAAGCAACAATACAAGGCAGTATATATTGCACTGGCAGTTGAAACTGAGGGAAGATATACACACTAATACACTGTTGGTGCTATATTGATCATGGAATCAAATTTCAAGCTAAAAAGTATGGTAGAAGCCATCAAGTCCAACACTCATTTTACAGATGAGGTAACAACCATAGAGAGGTCAAATGACTTGGCCAGGATCAAATTGCTAATCAGTCACTGTCTAAGGTAGAATTTGAGTCCCAGGTCTCCCTGAATTCAACTCCATCTACTATACGAGTTGGTCCAATCACTCTGGAAAACAATTTGGGATTATGTGAGAGAAAGTTGTGAGAAGTTTGTGAATTATGTGAGAAAACCTGTTGATCCCCTTTGAACTCAACATCAACTTCACTAATGGATATCAATGACAGAGGTCCTTCTATATTACCACAATATTCATAGCAGTGCTTTTCTGTGATGAGAAAAACAACCTTGAAACAAAGTACCCATCACCAAACAAATAATGGTTTTGTAGAGTCGTTTTTTCAGTCATGACAGTCATGAGTCTCTTGGCAAGGATACTGGAGTGGTTTGCCATTTCCTTCTCCAGCTCACTTTATGAATGTAGTTGAGTATTTCTACCCTTTGAGAATTGATGAATATGAGGAAAGGCTTTATAGGAAATGATTCAGAAGGGTACTGAACCAGGATAACAATATATACAGTGACTACAATAATGTAAATGAAAAGAACACTGAAAGGCAAGTAAACTCTGAGTAATCAGAATAACCTATCTTGATTTCTGAAAAACAAATCATGAAACACCTCTGAACTTTCCATGGGGAGACTACAAGGGTGGGATGGTACCAATCAGCTGTCAGATGAGGTCAATGGGTGTGATGCTTGGCTTAACTGTTTTTCTTAGTTACAATGGAGGGTTCATCCAGAGTGAAGTAAGGATAGTATATTCAAAAAATTACTATGATGTAAAGACAAAAGGTATCAATACAATTTATTGTACAAATAAGTTATCAGTGATTAAATACAATGTAAAATAATGAGTAGTAAAGATGGTAAATGTAGGGCTAGCGTAGTGCAGAAAGGCTTCAGGGAGGAGGTAGGAAATTTGCTGGCCCTTCAAGGATGGGTCAGGGAGATTTGTTCTGGGGTTGGGAATGTGGGATAAAAAAGGATGAACAAAGACGAGGAGAGGGAAGACTTTGAATCTGAAACCAACCTAACTAGAACCAATTCTCTGAATGTTAGAATTACTAGCTCACACTCTTAGATTATCTGAAGGTTAGAATAACTAGAATTAAACATTTCCTAGCTATATGACCCTGGGCAAGTCACTTAACTGTTGCCTGTCTCAATTTCCTCATCTGTAAAAGGAAGATAATAGCATCTACCTCTGAGGGTTGTTGTGAGGATCAAATGAGGTTAACTGCAAAGTGCTTAGCATAGTTCCCCAAACATAGTAAATATTTTGTTGTGTTGTGTCTGACTTCACGATCCCATGGACCATGGCACACCAATACTGTCCATGGGTTTTCTTGGCAAAGATACCAGAATGGTTTGAAATTTCCTTCTCCAGTGGATTAAAGCAGACTAGTGTCCTGATTCCAGCTCTATCATTCAGAAAGCATGGCAATGTTAATCATGAAAAAACCATGAGATGCAGAGTCACTTGTTTTCCAAAATGTCATTAGTTGTGTTGGGCAAATCATTTATCATCTCTGTGACTAGATTTCCTAATCTGAAAAATGAGGGGACAGTGTTAGATGACCATTGAGCTACCTATCTAGTTCTAATGTTCTTCAATTCTGCGAAATCACTTCATACCTCTGGTCCCCAGGATCCTCATCTATAAAAGGCGGGGGGGGGGGGTTGGATTAGATCTGACTTTTTGGTCTCAGAAACTCTTTACACTTTTGACATTATTGAGGGCCCTTCCCCCCACAAGGACTTTTTGTTTATGTGTATTACACCTTTATTTACCATATTAGAAACTGAAATAGCTTATTATTACAGAAATAGTTTGGACCTTATGAAATCTCTAAGAGTCAGGAAGCCTCAGGGGTTCCTGGACAGTACTTTGAAAACCGCTACATCATCTCTCAAATTCATCCCAGCTCTGTTGTAATATATTTTTAAAAATCACATCCCTAGTCTTTTAAGATTGGAGTTTTATAGGACAACAGTGTCTTCCCACTAACAGTAAGTGACTCTTCAATCCCCTTTCCTGATTCATCATTCATATCATGCCCACTAACTGTGGGTATAACTCAAGCCTCTGTCCTGGGACCCCTTTTTTCTATATTCTCTCCCTTAGTAATCTCATCTCCTATGGGTTCAATTATAATTTCTAAGCTAATAATTCTCAAATCTACACATCTAGCCCCAGTTTCTCTCCAGAAATCCAGTCCCATATCATTAATCTTTTACCTA